TTCTCACTTAAATTTTTTTTTCAAAAACGCTGAAAATTTCTATTTTTTTTTGCCTTGATCATGCCTGATAATATGAAACTTCACAAATTGAAGATAATCATCATTGAAAAATTTTGCCAAAAATTAAAAGTTTGTTACTTTTGTTATATCATTTGTGTAAGACAGCTCAAAGATAATTCAGGTCGTTTTCTATGCATTGTAAATGCATGACCGTACAACCTTTGGTGCTTTGAGTAACCAAGGTCTTTGTCACTTGTGTTCGGTTGCAAACACAACCGAAAATTTGTCAGAAAATAATTTTACGAACAAAAAACAGGTCTTTGGTTTATGGAGAAAATACCTATCATACAATTTCCATTTATGGGAAAATGCTTATCATAAAGTTTTCATACAATTTTCTGTGCGTATAGAATTGTATGAAATTGTATGAAAAGAAATTTCTCATTTATGAGAATTGTATCATAAGCATTTTTGGTCAACCCGGGTTGTTTTTACAACTGCGCCATATGACCTGATGACCTGTCTGAACGTCGAAGTTCTAATCTATACTTATAGTAAAAGAAAATTATTTAATGTGTCTGTGACTGTGCTCTTACTAGCCCGGGTTGACCTCCATAAACCGAAAATGCTTATCTTACATTTCCCCACACCGAAAATGCTTATCATACAATTGCCTACATCAAATGTATCGAAAATGCTAATCATACAATTTTCATACAATTTTTTTTAAAAATGTCTAAGTAAAATTGAAATTGCCCCAAAAACTTTTTCGTTTTTTTCAACCTCAAATTTAATTTTTTTGTTTGCATAACGTAGTCCACGATGCACAAAAATTGGAGTTTTTTCCGTTTCTCTGGATAACTTTTCTTAAACAGGCTAAAATTGCCTGTTTTTTTGTATGGCATGTTTATATATGCCTTGATCAATGTTTGATAAGTTGAAAATTCAATTTTAAAAAAAATCATCTTTGAAAAATTTTGCCAAAATTTAAAAGTTTGATGCTTTCACTATATCATTTGTGAAGTGATAATTTTTACAATTCAGATCGTTTCCAATGCATTGTCAGTGACAGAAGATCAACCTTTAGGAACACTAGTGTTGAGTACACCATGGGTTTAGTCACTTGTGTTCGGTCACGAACACATCCCAAAAAAATTTGAGAATCAAAATTTAGAAAAAATCAATTTTATGGTTTATGACAAATGTTTATCCTACACTTTTCATTTATGAAAAAATGCTTATCCTAGAGTTTTCTTTACAATTTTCTGAGTCTATGAAACTGTAGGAAACTGTAGGATAAGCATTTTTTCATATATGGAAATTGTAGGATAAGCATTTTGGGTCAACCAGGGAGGGTAACAATCGCACGACCGTGAATCTTTTCATGTGTGTATGTCATTATGAGGATTGCTATGGGTTTTTAAGATTTTAAAATTTGAACTTTCTAAAAAAAATGCAAAAAAGTGAGAATTAGGGAGCTAAGTAACTACTGCGTTTATTTTTCAATTCATTTACGCGGTTATAATTGAGCACGAGAATTGTGCAAAGTCATGATCTTGTTTTTTTGCTTAACGCATTGCTTAACGCTGACCGAAATCATATGAAATTGATCTGACAAGTCAATCTTTAAAAAATCTATTTTGTTTTGAAATAAAACAAGACTGCTCGTATCAGGGTGAATCTTGTTTTAGATCGAAAAAATTTGTTTTCAATCGAGAAAATTTGTTTTCAATCAAAAAAAATTTGATCTCATTTGAAAAAAAATTGTTTTCAATCGAGAAAATTTGTTTTCCCATAGTGGTTTTCTCTTCTTCGACTTAAGATACAGGGCTCAAACTTCGCCATAAGATTGAAATAATTTTAAACGCAATTAGCGCAGCCGCAACGAGCAAACACGACCAAAAATTGAAAACACGAGTAAAAATGAAACGGAGCAGCACTTTACTAACACGAGCAAACGTATTTTTTGAAATCCAAGAAAATACGGTAATATAATTAGTAGAAAAAAAACGGACGCACAAAATTAATTAAAAGGAGGAATTGACCTATTCTGGGAAAAAGTTGCAAACCAGATCTTATTTTTCAGTCCGAATTTGCGTCTCAAGATTGTCTGGAAAAAAATGCATGCAAAAAATTGGGAAAAGAGTGCGATTGCTCTTTTTAATTAAATCTGTCTGTCCCAACTTTTTGCAAACCTCTCTATATAACTTTTAACAAATTTATCAGACAACGTATTAAAGTTCTGAAATAATTCCTAGCTTCAAATTTAAACTAAACCGAAATGTCTCTTTGACGTTTCGCGTTTCCCTTTTCGTCGGCGTTTTGAGCGTTTTTTGTGTTCTGAAAAACTACACGGCAAATCGTTGTTGAATGAAAGTTTTTTCAAAATTGTGCTCTTGCAATAGCAAAAATATAGCAAAAATCAAATGTTCCGAAAAAGCACAATCATTCTGCATTGCTCATGCGACAATTCAAATGCAGTTTTGAAATTCGGTTACAGTTTTAACGCCTATTTCACTGTCTTATGGTCAAAATTATTCGAAAATTTGAAGAGGTTGTCAGATATAATTAGTAGCAAAAAATTCGGACAGACTAAAATTAAGCAGAGCAAGCTACCTTTTTCAGACAATTTTCGCATGGAAAAGCTGACTTTTCAGACGAAAATTATGTCTTAATGTCCCTCAAAAATCAAAATTGCATGCAAAAATTGATCAAAATTGGCAGAAGACTGCTCAGTTATTTCTGTCTGTCCGAACTTTTTGCAATTTTCTATAAATTTAATAAAAGCTATACTTAATGCCATAATGTTGACAAAATTTGCGCTTTTGAGCAGCTTTAATGGTCAAAAAACGGTTGTTATAGGTTAATTAATTTTTTTTGATGTTTTTCTAACCGGTTTTACGGTTGAACTGAAATGAAAATTGATTTCAGACGTCAAAATGAGCATTTTCAGATTAATAAACTTTGTTCAAATTCGTTTACCTAAAACTATATTGCCAACAATTTGGGCTTTGAAATTCATTTGTTTGTGACCTTTACGCCAAGAATATTTATATGTTTTGTGAACTATGAAGCCAGTCACGTTGTTTGTGACCTTTGTACTTTGATGTTCGATAGTGAAAGTTGCCTTCTTTTTAGTTAAAGAATTGAACTGAACTTATAAAAAAAAGTTCCGTGAAAAACCAAACTGATGATAAAAACAAAGCAAGACCTGAAAAAAGTCAACAAACGTATCCACACTACGTTCATTGACTCTTTTTAGTGAATCTTTAACAGAAAATGAAATTAAACAGATCAGAAAAACAAAAGGCCGACAATTCAGTTCGGAAAAGACCTTCACCATCCGCGGCCTTAACGTCGTCTATCTTGTGTTTGAAGTCATTTTGTAAATCAAATTATTAAGTTGAAAAAAAATTATTCGTTCGGATGTGACAACTCTTGTTTATCGCAAGCGTAATAACCGAGTAAGAGAGCTACACCAATAATTTATTCCGACGAGAGAAGTCCAGAACAACTGTTGCGCTCCTGTCCACTCAAATGTTTTTGGAGAATTGTACAGCTCGTAAAACCAATTATATTTATTTCATTTTGCTTTTAACTGTTGACTGTTAGCATGAGACATGTAGACAACCGCTTCTTGTCAATTCTTTTGAACATAAATGAAATTTATTTTTGGAAATTTATTATCTCAACCCAAAATTAAAATTCTTTATTTGACCACGTTTTCTTTGAGTGAAAGTTTACCACCACTATCAAGTGAGTTTTTCAATAAATGAAGAGGCAAAGGGAGGTTCAAAAAGTGTAAAAGACCAAGGGCAACGAAAAAAAAATATTATAAATGAAAGAACATTTTTCAATGTTTGAAAAAATAAATATTTATCAGGTGAAAGGTCTTTGAAGTTCAAGAACAATTTATCACTGTACTTTTTATTAAATCAGCCCATATGAAAAAAAAAATCGCGTGTTAGTGTAAAAACTTTTTCAAATGAATGTATTTTGTTCAATTTTTTCACAGGTCTTTCAAAAAATCAGCCCAATTGAAAGAAAAATCGCGTGTTAGAGCAAAAACTTTTCCAAATGATTGTATTATGTTCAATTTTTCCACAGGTGTTTCATACCAGATAAGCAATAGCTTTTTTGCATCTCGATAATAGTTCACATCTCGACACTGAGTGTCTCGATTCATTCACTAAGATCCTCATGCAATATATCACATCACCCGTAAAAGGGGTGGGCTAAGTATTAAGTAGATCCTTCTAAACGGCTTATTTAGGATGTAAGATAAACATAGCCAACATATTTTGAAGAGTCAATGAACGCAAGTAAACAGAAATAATACTGACTTGCTTTTTTTGTGAAATGGTTACTTTCGAATTTCCGAAAAAAAATAGATGGTCTTATAGCTTTTTGAATTTTTAGATCATTTATGATTGACACGTTTTGGCTAACATGAAGCCCATTTGAAAGCTGAGGATCAACGGGTCAAAATTTTACTTCGCAAACAAAAAAATGAACTGAACTTAAAAAATTCAGAAGGCAAACCGCGACAAACTACATTTGAGCCTGAACAAATTTTATGAGTTTGCCTGAAAACTTTTTAAAAAATCATCGCGACCTACAAGGTGTGTAGTGTAGGTGTCTGAACTACGTTCATCGACTCTTAAAAATATGCACTTCAACAAAGACATTTGAATCCTCTTTGAATCCAATTAACCGAGCCGCCAAGGACTCTTTTAGAGATAAAAAACCAAGTAGAAAACTTTGCGAAAAATACCGCCATATTATTTCTGGCAAAATTTTATTTTTTTTACATGATTTTGTCCAAGGTCGGCCCAAATTGAGATAAACGCGTTAAAAATAAGAAGCAAGCATCTAATTGTCAAGACACTATTGGAGCCGTTTTATATGTACGAGGAGACTCTCGTACGGTGTTTCAATTTGTTTCCCAATTACAGAGAACGATACGGACAATTTTCTCTCAACCTTAAAAGTAGAAAAAGTTTTTCCACTAGTTTTGTTTTTAGTCAGATGTAATCATTTCCAAATTTCGCGCATGAAAATTACAGCACACAAACATGATTTTGCAAAATGAGTTATTAAGAAGGTTGACATTCATTTGGTTCATTTTATTTGTTAGTATTTGTTGACCCATTCTGTTCTTGTGTTGATTTAATTTGTCAACGAAATAATGCCACAGGAAAGAAAAAGCATTTGAGGTCAACCAACACTCATTACATCAACATTAAAGCTGGTTACATTTATCATTGTTACTCATCAAAAACTTCGGAACTTGTTTATTTGCCCACTTAAAACCAGATGAAACTTAAAATCACTTCTGCATATATTTGTTAACTAATAGAAAAGTTCGAACCTTCAACCTCGTCAAACTAAAACACACGGCAACATGCGAATCATGAAAACACCGATTGAAAGAAAATTCAAGCTGTTACGATAGGGATAGAAATGATCCATCTTAATCTTGCGCACCAGGCCGACAAAGTACTTTCCAAAGATGGGGAACATAAATACTCTGAACAAACACCACAAATATGTTCGCAAAACTTGTGAAATGAAGTGTCGCAATAACCCTCATGTTGTAGGTATATTACAGAAGTGGTGTACATTTCTAGAAGCTTTCGTACTAATAAGTTGGAAAATGGAGTGGGTCGTTCGGCCTGGTACTACGAATGCAGTTATAATGAAGGTTTAAAAATTCATCTAAAATCTAACAGTTATCTATATGTGTAACTACTACTGATAGTTACGTAAATACTATTCGGAATCATATAAGATCAGTTCGAGAGCAAATCGACTAAAATCCCCCGTTGCCTCCTGTCAACAAGGAGCATCAACTGTAGTTGAAATCCCTCTATCCAAACACATTCTCTCCGCTGTACGCCATGTATAGGAAGCCATCGGAGTCCTTGTAATCGTCGTACAGCGTTCCCATATTTGAACTGAATCGAGACAAAAAAGGTTAAAACCCAGTCTGAACCCAACTTAACAAACATAGAAAACAAGTTAAACAGCAGTATCGCACTTTATTTCATAACTCGTCGAATCCAAAAAAAAACACGACGGAATATTAAAAATTATTTCAACTTTTCAAAAATTTTCATGTACAGCTTTTTTCAAACAATTTAAAAATTTCTGATAGAACCAAATTGAGGAAATCTACAACAGAGCCGACCGAACAGACAGTAGGAAAATATATGAACTATAAAAAACCTTAACGCTTTGTTTGTATTTAAAACGTATTTGTTTGTGAAAACGTATTTGTTCTTTTTTAGGAAAAGAATTATAACGCTTTCCTACCTTAACGCTTTCCAAATTTCAAAAATCTTTCAAGATTGACACTCTTTTTATAACACTGACCCAATTTGAGAAAAAATCAAAACTGTGAATATTGAAATCCACTTCTAACACTAAAACGAGTCAATCGCGTTCTGCTTTTGCTATTAGAGAGAGACTACCGAAGAAATCAGAAGTCAAGCCGCGGAAAATCAAATCGAGCTAAGCTATTTTTATTTATTTTTTCCTAAAAAAAGAACAAATACGTTTTCACAAACAAATACGTTTTAAATACAAAAAAAGCCAACAGACAGTTGAAAGAGTCAATAACAGAAAAAATAGATGCCGTTAAAGCGCTTCGAACTTACGAACAAGTTATAGCACTTTTTTTGTTGGAATTAACCCAGTTTGAGAAAACTGGATCAACTAGTAAATTTTTATTTTGCTGGAAAATCTGAAAATTGAATTCCAATTTCGAACTAGAAGTCGATCACGTTTTTTGCGAACATAACACTTTTGCTGTTTGATAGTAGTCTGCCTTGATAACTTATCAAATGGCATCATTCCCAAATGGCATAAAAACCAATTAATTCCCAAATAGTAAAAATAATTTCCATAAATGAGTGAAAACTTTGAGGCGTGAAAAAGTTTTCACGCCTTAATTTGTTCACTTGTCAACAACTATTTACTAATCACTCATCAACATTCAATTCAAGCAGAGCTATCGGATTCTTAAAAAATGAGCCAAAGTGAAGTTTTTAAAACGGGACGGGGTTGCAATTTGTATTATGACGGATATTTTTATTAAAAAAAACCAAAGCTACAACCCGAAGTTTTTTTTGCTTTGTACTGAAAGTGAATGCGGCTCCAGAGTTACTTCAAATATTGAAATGGATACCTTAAAAACTCATACAACTTCGCATGCTCATATACCCGATTTTAAACCGCTATAAAACTGAAATTTTTTCGGAAATTTCCCAAAACCCACTCGAGTCAGTTGCCCAAAATCACAAAAAAAATGTTGCCAGAACCAGTGATACAAGTCTCTTCTCATTCAGAAATGTAGAATCGAGACTATCGCCAATGATGCCAAAAACCCCTAGAAGTATCGAATCGTTAAGAATTCGAGCTGAATGGACAGAAACGCAGGACGAATAACACGAAAAGAATATATCGACGAATGCTACAAATTTTACCAAGAAAAACTCAAAGAATGGAACTGCAACCTGAAATCAAAGAAATTATCTGCGGCTTTGAGCTGGGATTCAAGGTGAGATACAACATTTTTGTAACTTCTAACCTAGAAATCATAATCAATTTTTGAGACCACTATGGGACTTCCAACAAAGACATTTCTGAGGGATATCCGTCAAGTTAGTGACGAGGTGAAGAGTGCCTGGCCATAGATTTTACCGGCACTCTTCGCCTCGGCACCAACTTCACCGACATCTCCCAGAAACGTCTCAGACATGATCACTATGATGGTCTCAAAAACTACCTACGACTACTCAGAGCAGTTTCAATAACATTGTGTTGTAGCAATAAATTTTCTAACAATCAGAGTTCGAGGATGCTATTTTCAATTCTCCGAAGCAACTTTGTCAAAAATTAAGGATTTGGGAATTTTTTACACCTTACAAAAATGATAGAAGACTAAACCAATTTATTCGAAAGTTCATTGGCATAGAGTTTCTACCAGTGTTTTATATTGGCCAAAAATTTCATGAGTTACTTCAAGAAACATCGCCAAGATTACTGGTTTCACGGTTTACAAATCTCAGTCTTTTTAAACTATTTCGAGTCAACTTGATTAAATCAATTTCCACCAATAAAGGCATGTGAAGGGTAATACAATCGGCTGAATACAAGAGTAGGTCGTCGAACTCGCCCAAACTTTTGGGTGTTTGTTAAAACGTTACAAAACGAAGAAAACTTAGCAAGAAGATCTTACAGGCTATTCCAATGGGGCTATCAAGATGATGTTCCTCAACGAAAAAAATGGAGACACCTAAACGCAATGATTTTCAACATGAAACAAAGATTCGAAGCCTAATTGCTTGATTATGACGAATATTGGGAAAGTAATTGAGAAATCTGCCAAAACTTGTAAAAATTGAAAATCACTTGATTTTTCTTTCTGTTGAATATTCCAGTTATATTATTTTCAAGTTAATTTAAATCTTACTGCCACTTTTCGAAGTTTAGACTATTGATGCCATTTGTGAAAATAACAATTTTTATGCCATTTGAATTTTCTTTTGAAATTTATGCCATTTGGGAATTTTTTGGAAACTTATGCCATTTCGGAATTTTAAAAATTATTTGCCATTTGCCCAGAACTATAATCAGTTCGAGGATGCTATTTTCAATTGTCCGAAGCAACTTTGTCAAAAATTAAGGATTTGGGATTATTTACACCTTACAAAAATGATAGAAGACTAAACCAATTTATTCGAAAGTTCATTGGCATAGAGTTTCTACCAGTGTTTTTATATTGGCCAAAAATTTCATGAGTTACTTCAAGAAAAAACGACAAGATTACTGGTTTCACGGTTTACAAATCCCAGTGTCTTTTTAAACTATTTCGAGTCAACTTGGTGAAAACAATTTCCACCAAATATCTACGTTTATGCAAGGCAGAGCACTCTGAGAACAAAAAATGCATGTGAAGGCTAATACAATCGGCTGAAAACACGAGTAGGTCGTCGAACTCGTCCAAATTTTTGGGTGTTTGTTAAAACGTTACAAAACGAAGAAAACTTGGCAAGAAGATCTTACAGGCTATTCCAATGGGGCTATCAAGATGATGTTCAATGAAAAAAAAATGGAGACACCTAAACGCAACGATTTGCAACGTGAAACAAAGATTCGAAGCCTAATTGCTTGATATTGACGAATATTGGGAAAGTAATTGAGAAATCTGCCAAAACTTGTAAAAATTGAAAACCACTTGATTTTTCTTTCTGTTGAATGTTCCAGTTATATTATTTTCAAGTTAATTTAAATCTTACTGCCACTTTTCGAAGTTTAGACTATTGATGCCATTTGTGAAAATAACAAAGTTTATGCCATTTGAATTTTCTTTTGAAATTTATGCCATTTGGGAATTTTTTGGAAACTTATGCCATTTCGGAATTTTAAAAAATATTTGCCATTTGCCCAGAACTATAATCAGTTCGAGGATGCTATTTTCAATTCTCCGAAGCAACTTTGTCAAAAATTAAGGATTTGCGATTATTTACACCTTAAAAAAATGATAGAAGACTAAACCAATTTATTCGAAAGTTCATTGGCATAGAGTTTTTACCAGTGTTTTATATTGGCCAAAAATTTCATGAGTTACTTCAAGAAACATCGACAAGATTACTGGTTTCACGGTTTAAAAATCTCAGTGTCTTTTAAAACTATTTCGAGTCAACTTGGTTAAATCAATTTTGACCAAATATCTACGTTTATGCAAGGCAGAGCACTCTGAGAACAATAAATGCATGTGAAGGCTAATACAATTGGCTGAATACACGAGTAGGTAGTCGAACTCGCCCAAATTTTTGGGTGTTTGTTAAAACGCTACAAAACGAAGAAAACTTGGCAAGAAGATCTTACAGGCTATTCCAATGGGGCTATCAAGATGATGTTCAACGAAAAAAATGGATACACCTAAAAGCAATGATTTGCAACGTGAAACAAAGATTCGAAGCCTAATTGCTTGATATTGACGAATATTGGGAAAGTAATTGAGAAATCTGCCAAAACTTGTAAAAATTGAAAACCACTTGACTTTTCTTTCTGTTGAATATTCCAGTTATATTATTTTCAAGTTAATTTTAATCTTACTGCCACTTTTCGAAGTTTAGACTATTGATGCCATTTGTGAAATTAACAAATTTTATGCCATTTGAATTTTCTTTTGAAATTTATGCCATTTGGGAATTTTTTGGAAACTATGCCATTTCGGAGTTTTAAAAATTATTTGCCATTTGAGATATAATCGTCTGCCTTCTTTTCAGCAAAGGAAATGAAGTTAACTTAAAAATCAAATCGCGAAAAAGTAAATTTGAGTCTGAACAAACTCTAAGATTTTTCCTGAAAAAAAAAACAAAAAAAACATCATCGCGACCTATATAAGAGTCTGAACTTCGTATCAAAAAACAGTCCGTATAATAGGTTATACAGATCGAAAAACCGAAATTTATAATCAATACTATATTTAAACCCCTGTAACACGTATTTCGCTGTATGTAAGCTATCTTTACCATGTTTAAGCGTCGTAGGAATCTTTGCATGTTTAAGACAAATCGCTTTTGACAATTCGATTTTTCAGTTGATGTTAAATGCGCAAATTCAATGTTAAACTTAATTTACTTTTTGAAATCATTCCCATTCTCGTCCATAACGTATTGTCTCCTCCTTGTAGATTCTCCAAGCTATCGACTATTTGCACTTTTTGTGTAAAGCAAACAATTTCTATGCTCAAAAAGTCGGTCATTGTAATCACAGTTATATGCAGGGGCGGATTTAGGGGGGGGGGGGCGGACGCCCCCCTTCCTCAGGGATTCGACCCCCTGCCGACCCAAAGGGTCCCCCCTTTGATACTTTTTCAGAAATCCCTTTTTAGCCGACCGACCCTAAATTTTTTCTAAAGGCGCCTTTGGCGCCAATATATACTAACTTTGAGGGGGAGCGCGCGCCATAAAAACGCTATTTTTTTTGTCAAAATTTTTCAAAAAGTGCCCAAAAACGGCTTTTTTTGACTGTTTTTTCAAAAATTTGCCTGCGGTGCAGAAAACTTTGTAACAAAATAGGGGCAAAACAGTGCTTTGGGAGAGCTCGAAAAATCAATTTGGTCGACCTAAAAAAAAAAGGTCGTCAAAATTTAGGAAAATTTTTTGAAAATCCGCCCCCCCCCTCGAGAAAATCCTAGATCCGCCCCTGGTTATATGTATGAATTTTTTTTTGCAGAGAATGAATGTAACGGTAAGAAAATGTTTGAGGGAGCGATGTTACCATAAACAATTGCTATGCTGAAAAAATCGGCCATTGTAATCAAAGTTCTAGATATTAAACTGTTTGAAGAAAATGAAACGGTAAAAATGGTTGAGTGGGTAAATTTAAAGAAATTTTGGCATTTTTAAGCTATATCGTTTCTCTAATGGTAGAGTTCTCATTATCCTTTTCTTATAATCCATTTTATGGCTAAAGACGCATTGGTTTCAGAACATACTGTTAGTTTCAAATAAATGACACCCGGTATTTTCTTAGATTTGGAGAAAAAAATCACAAAAAAATTCACAAGAGAAGTTTCATCGTTTGCTACATTATCGATTTTCTTAGTATTTGATTTTTATTATTGATGAACTAGCTATGATTTTGGGCTATAATATTCTTTGTATTTAGAGAATTTCATTTTAAGGGCTTTCGGTGGAAATTAGCAATACTGGAAATATTCCCAGCATTTTAAATTCGACTTTTTTTAGCATCGGGCACTCATATTTTCTAGCCGCCTTCAGTCTAACGTCAGACTATCACTTTTATTTTTACTTAACTTGAAAAAAATAGTACTATCACGCTACGCTTCCCTTGAGAAAAAAAGGAAATGAAGAGAACGTAAAATAAATCATACGTCAAACCGCGAAAAATCAAATTAGATTGTAAACAAATTTCAAGACTGTGACCTGAAAAAATCATAACCAAGAGACAGATGGAAAAGACAATTTTTTTTTGATTTTTTGACAAAATTTACTGATTTTTTTAATTAAACCTCAACTTCCGAATTTCGAAGTGAAAAATATATATCCTTGAAGCTTTTTGAATTTCAAAAAAAGTTAATGATAGTCTTTTTTTTTCGATAAAATCAACTCAATTTGAGAAAACTGGATCAATAAGTAAAGTTTTATTCCGCTGGGAAATCGGAAAAATAAAATTGAAAATTTTAAGTTTGTAACCTTTAGACGCTGGCTGCTCGATAGTTTAGTTTGCCTGCTTTCCTTTCAAAAATTTCACGAAAAAAATTCATCGCGACCTAAATTAGTCTTCACTACTCTTATCGACTCAGAAAACCAAGCAAATCTCAAAAAAAAATAATCATGAGAAAAATGTTCTCAAAAAAGACAAACCACACGATCTAAATTTAAAAATTTCGCTCATTGAAACTTAATCAGAAAATATTTCAATTTCAAATATGCCAAAACGGTAAATGATTTCAAACAGGCAAACAAGAGTAACTAGTTCTCCTATCAACTATAGACAACATGATCCTTCTTTCTCAGCAGCAGGATTTCAGTTAATTTGAACATAAGAGAAAAACGAATAACCTGGTGGATGGGATCATCTTTCCGACGAAGAGGAACAGGGCTCTTTCTGGGGGCAGGTGGATTCTCTTGCGCAGGATCCACAAGAACTGTGCAACTGTGATGTCACTGGGTACCAAATACTTCCTCTTGTCGATTTCGTCGATCTCCGAGCGGGGCACTTTCTCCACAATCACCTACATCACCAACTAAGTCAATGACTGCATAGTGCATACCATACAATTTTAAATGAAGCAAACCTATCTTTTATCTTCAAAAACGAACCTAAAACTATACAATTTTAAAAATCTGTTTGAATTTTGCGAAACAAATGACAATTTTTTTTAAAACGTGCGAATTCTAATTATCAAATGAAAGAAAACCACTTCAGGCCACTTCGACAATAACACAGTCACAAATCACAATCGACAAAACTCGACTACAAAGTCTTCTTTCCTTTCAATTTAAAGCTCTATGATTAAATGTCTCGGAACGCAATCTCGGACCTTTAAATTAGTAATCTAACAAACACTCATTCACTCCACAATTCCTTCAAAAGATCCTCCTTTCAGGCACCAAGAAAGCAGCTACAGATTCTAAAAAAAATTGCCAATGCCATGCAGCAAAAATTCCACCAAATATAAACTGAAGGCAACCGCACTAATTTTGCATCTAAATTATAATTTGCATTAGAAATGATGAAGCCGAATTGAATACATATTGAGCCGACAATTAGGACGAAAACCACAAATCCAAAAAAATTAAGTTGAATTGAATGTTCAAGAAATTGAGCATGTCAGCCATGAAAGTTACTGCAGGTACAGATTTGTACACATAGACGAGGCGGAGCTACGATGCAAAGCAAGCCCATCACTGCAAGATAGCAAACAGCAATAAGACAGAAATGTCAAAAAAATCGAAAAAAAAATAATTTCAAAATACAGACACCGAAAAACACAACCAACATCCATAAGTAAGCTTTCAGAAGTAAACGAGCGGCAACAAAAAGTGGCAAGACTCCGAAAACAAAAAAAAATACCATCAGCAACTGGCGTCATGCAAAAACTTCGTATATTTAGCTTTAAAACTTTTAAATCTTGCTAAAAAACACTCAATCAATTTTTGCCCTTGAAGTTATACAATATAAATTATCTAAGCCGAAAATCTTTGAGCCGCATAAAACTTTTTAGCAAAAAAAAACAAGAAGGAAAAGATGCAACATCAGAGCCATTAGTTTTACAAATTACAGGAATAAATCAAAAACAGTCGCATCTAAAATTAAAATCGCTGAGAGCACGATAAAAATCCCCAATGTGGCAACTAAGTAGACAAACTAAAGACCCAGAAAAAAAATCAATTTCATACATACTAGCGCATAACGCACCTCCGGTGCTTCGAATTTTTGACAACTCATAAAAACTGATATATTAAAGATCTGCATAATTTGATTGACTCTGACAGCACCTAATTACAGGGCTGACAATTTCAAATTTTGGGAAATTTTGTAATTCAACGTTTTCTGAATTTTTTAAACAATGACCCATCTCGGAAATTAAAAGCTTTCCAAACGTCAAAATTGTACAAAAACTTTGCAACTCCTGAGAGGTCCTTCACAGTACACAACAACAAGGTTGGGAGTTCCATTTTTTTTCAATTCTAAAACCTAATTTTTCTGAAAATTAAAAAAAAACAGTAAAAACGCCATATCTCGAAACCTAAGAGTATTTGAGCAGTCAGATTTGGAGGCAACACTTGCAACTCATAAGAACACTGACAGCCTCCAACAACAGGTTAAGAAATAAAACTTTTGAAAAAAAAAGTAAATTCACGTTTTCTGAAAAAATCACGAAAGGCATCATTTCTCGAAAATTACAAGAATTTCAGCAGTCTAATTTAGATGCACAACTCGTGTAATTTAGAGGCAAAACAAGTACCATGACAGAGCCTCACTATATAGATGGTAACTTCTAACTTTTGAAGTTTTTTTATATCTAAGTTCTTTGAACAATTTTAAGAAAGACATAACAAACATCACATCTCAGAAACTAGGAGCATTTGAGCAGTCGCATTTGGACTCGAGACTTGCATTTCCTGAGAGTATCCTAACACTAACCAATTAAGTTGGGATTCTCAAATTTGGTGAATTATTTTTTAATTTTAAATTTCTGAAAAATAACAAACATCAACGTATCTCGTAAACTAAAAGAATTTGGGCATTCATAATTGGAGGCCAAATTCGTAACCCCTGGATGAACCCTGGCAGCATCCCACTATTGGTTTGCTGTTTTTATTTTTGGTGCACTTAACACGGGAAAAGCAAACGGGAAAAGCAAAAAAAAAGCTTTTTCAAGCATTGCAATATACGATATTGCTTAATCGTGAAAAAATTATTTCGTTAAACATGCAAAAAATATTACGTTGAAAAAATTTAAACATGGCAAGATAGTGAAGCCCGCATTTAAAGAGATAATAGATTGAAACAAAAAATAAGTTTCTGCCGTGACTTGAACACGACACCTTAGGGTATAAATTTCTTAAAAAGTAAGAAAAATTGTTTACGGGAAAAAAGTTTAGTTCCCGATCACAAGACACTTGCTCTCGCAAGAGTAAAGAAAATTCTTCGCGGGGATAAAGGCAGTTACCGATTACAAGTCCAATTGCGCTGAGTCGGATTTGTTTAATTTCAAAGAAAATAGATCTACCAAAACTTCTTATATTTTGGTCTTGCTTTAGACACCCACTAGATTTGAAATTTTGAAAAACTAAGTCCCCCTTAATTAAACAAACAGATGCATAAAAAACTTTTTTCATTTATAAAACTACGCTATCTTAGACACATAACACGATATAATATCCGCCAAAAAAAGCAAAATCAAAACGAAAACTCTGAACTTATAGTGAAATCAGATATGTCAAACTTACAACCAACAGAAAACTAATTTCGAAAAGAACAGACATCCAAAATGCAGACAGCTCAAAATAACGAGAGTACAGATTTGGAGATGACCACCAATTTCAGCATTCAGTGAACAAAGTCATTTACGGATAAATAATGTCTCAGTGCCCTGTTGCAACACCTAATCTAAATGGTTAACACAGAGGCAAAAGGGATCTTCGCACCACTTGCGATACCACGCAAGATAGCATTGCAAGCCAGCAGACAAAAAATGAAACGAAAGCCACGAAGTAACATAACAACCTTTGTTCGCATTTGTTTGTTAGTTCCCTAAAATACAGATTTGGACATCAGTTAGAGTCATCATGTCAACAAAGGTTGTTATGGGGAAAAAAACTAGCACCCGGTTGCAAAACTTTGCTTATCGCAAGGGTAAAGACCGCAGAAGAAAATATATAAGCAGAGTAGAAAACTTACAGGAATTCTTTCAGGGTATTTCGCTCGGATTTTTGCAGACTCGCTTTTCCTTTGCTCTGAAACGAAACTTCTCTGATTCAAACTTCTTTGTGATGATTTAATTACGTACCCCGCTATAATACTGAAATAATTGTTACTGTACATGAAAGCGATGTTTTTCAGATTAACCGTTTTGATTTTTAGCAGGGCAGTATCATGCATATAAATCAACATCGTTACTTTGGGCTTCGAGTTGCAAAGAGCCCTAACTCATATCGCAGTTATCATAAGTTAACTCAAGTTTAGAATAAAAAATTGGCTCACCCTCTGTGTACTCAACCTTGAACCTCCACTTCATGGCAAGGCGCTGTAGATATCTCACAATTTGCAAGGCTCAATATGATCTAAAATAGGCTTAGAATCAGATGAAAAAATAGCACCTATAAAGCTGCATTGCATGAAGTACAGTAATTTTTAAGTAGAATAGTAGAAGATTGGTTACTGTTAAATACATTTGGGATTGAAATATACTAATTAAAAGTACGGCTTTTAAAACATTGAGACGAAACAGAGCTTCGCACTCCTAGTGATACAACACAAACATAGCATGCTAATCAGACGATAGAAAATGAGACGCCTTAAGACGAAACAAAACTTTTCAAAAGCCGAATAAGTCGAGATTTGAACTGAAGTGCTTTGTACATCTCTGAAACCAAATCAAGCTGAATAAATTGAAACGAAAAGGCATCAATTGATCACGTGAACATTCATAAGTCAAATAACTAACTTATTCCACGTTATGGGCATTGTAGAGCTTGTAATGAATATGATGCTTCAGTTCGAAAGTTGAATGAACAAAATCGAAAAGGATAAATTCATCCCTTGTCGAACTATCGCGAGTTTTACTGAAAAATTGCACATTGGTGAAATATAAAAACATGAAAAAGGGCGACTAACATATTGGATGAAACGATTCGAAAGATTTTCAAAACAAAAAACATTATCAAAACAATCAAAAATATCCCAAAATCATTTAAAATTTTTTTGGACAACAAGGAATTCCAGAGCTTCCAAAAAAAACAAAGGTTTTTCTCACCGTTAATGAAGTGAACGACATACTTTATTCAATCAGGGCTAACGCATATGTAGCTTAAACTCAGAGAATTGGGAAACTCAGAACCGATCGAGAAAAACCAAGACGACTACTTGTTATTGTAGTAGCTACCGAATATGATGATAGACCTAACCATGCAAAAACACGACTTCAGAGCAAACTTGAGGCAGTCTACATTATAGCCGAAACATGTCATTTTTTTTTACTTTTTTTTAGATAATCAGAAGGTCAAAAGCACCATAGTAACCGAGGTTACAGTCAGGAGTCCCTTCATCACGTATTCCAGTCAAAATCCCTGGAATTTTCTAGATATGGAATTGATAATGATATACGAAGATGACAAGTGTTTAAGTCCTTTTCAATTAAAGTCGATACGGGTTACGTTTCTTCAAATAGAACACGCAACTCGACACGAAAAAAATATAATATACAAGTGTTCCAAATGAAAAATTTCGTCGAAAGTTATTTAGTCATTTATTGTTCCGAGTACGCAAGCGGCGTTCGCAATCTGTATTGCCAGGGAGATTTTCTGTTTCAAAAAGCTGCCTGCTCTGGGTTCATCGGTGCATATGCTTAGGTTCTTACAAAGCCTGCTCAAACAAATTCTGTGCTGGGGCCGGCCGCGCCCTGAATTTCAAAAGCTAGCGGTTAAAAAGATATCCATCATCTACAAGATCTCTATACTTGTCATTTTTTCGCTCTTCCGCTTCAGCGGCAGCCGTACCAGGGTTACAAACTGACCTAAGGAGCATTAATCCTACAAGGAGCTAAGGAGTCTACTACCGTTACATCCCACAAGAGCTGCTTACCAACAGCCCATGGAACGAACGTCAAACCGTCTGGTCGTTTCTGATAGGTCCTGTAGAGGTATCGTGGTTCTAAAACAGACGGAATGTGAGTAGTAGATAAACTCTGCTTTATAAGGGCATTCAAGTTTGAATGCCTAGAGAATCTCCCAGCACTTTTCAGGCAAGAAAGACCATGCCAACCATCCTCGGTAATTTCTTTTCCGCATACGCATTTATGCCGTTCGCATATTTTTGAGCCTTATTGAAGTCCTATCGCAATTCTGAGTTGTTGGTTGGACAGTTTTAACCTTAAATTTTTGCACGGGATGAAGTTCAACCATGGGGAGCCAAATCTATCTTGGAAAGCGTTGAATCTTTTTTACGTCCGTTGGTTTTCATTTTCCGGACCTATTTCAATTTTTCAAGTTCAAACCACTGTTAAAGCGCATCATCATAGGTTCCATCTGTAACATTCATCTACTTCGGTCACATATGAGGCTTAAGAATGTGCCAGTCGGTCATATTTGGAAGTTTGACCTTGAGAAGAGCAGAAAACACTTGATTTTGGAGTGAAATTTAAATTTTTAAAATTTCGAATGGAACATGTCATGCACGATTTTCTCGCGAGAACTGAAAATCAGAAAAAGAAAGGAGAACAATTGAGTCACACACGCGGGAAAGTTGTCATATAAAAAACGAGTGGGAAATTGCTATTCGCAATTTCCATCATAGTGAACAAGAGTAGAGCTGTCCTATCTGAAATAGAAGACAGAGTATTCCCGAGAGAGTAATTATTCGAACTGAACCAGAGTGAACCTTCGACGGAAAGGTGGACAGCTTGAGTGTCCCAATGGTCCACATAAAACTTCGTTCTTGAGTTCAAACTTACCCTTACCATTCAAACTGATAAACATTGAACTTATCTAGTTACTTTAGTTAATTCTAGAGTTGCTCACCCATTTAATTACTTCCTGGTTCTTGAGCGCATCAACATGTGAGTCCTTAATTTAAATTTCTAGAGTGTGTTTTACGATTGTTATGTTGAGGTAAGGCGAGTTTTAGGTTGATCCATCTGAAATGGATCAAAGTTACACTGTCTAATAAAAAGTAACTTAACGGATTGTTCCAACCCGGTTTTTAACGGCGTTCATGTATTTTGGGTATCTAGAGACCTAAGTATGGGGACGTTTCTAATTCTAGAGTGGGGGGATATTTTAGTAGTAGCCTTTAAGCTGTAACGGGTCGTAGTCTCATGTCACAAGCGAACCGAACTGGCTCCGACCGTTCTTGAGGTAGAAAAACACAAGAGATAGTGTCCCTGACCCTTGAGCCAGTGGTTATAGGGCCTATTTTTCTTAAGCCTCATGTGTGACTGCAGTAGACGAATGTTACATAGTGTTTTTATGGCGCTCCTGGGTGTTTACGACATCAAGACTACGGAGTCGAACCCACTTGAGACAGCTTCGGGCTGAATGCCCATTCTAGAGTACCGGCGGTACGGTTCGACAGGAACGTGCAAACCTTCCGGTTGTACCGTGATAGCTTTTTAAGAAAACTCGAGAAAATTTCCTGGTACGCTCTCCGAACGAGGCTTAGCTAACCGAGTAAAGGGGGGCAACTAGGGGGACAAAAACACGAGCAAAAAGACAGAAAGCAAAACAAAAACCAAAAAAGAATAGAAAAAGGAACAAAAACCATAAAACGAAAAAAGACAGTGACTTTGACACCAGATTAGTTGGATCAAACCTTTATATTAATTAAATAGTATACCCATACTGTTTTACAAGTTCGATCGTTTCGATCAACCTAGCAATTTAAACCAGTAAACTGAATAAAGTGCCCGAAGTGGGGCGTTGTCAAGGGTTTTCAGATAGCTTGGAACTTAGCTGGACCAATAGGAGACTTGACTGGAAGAGGTGACCAGCCGAGTGGGAAAGTGGTTCAGGGACACTTGAGCTGAACCAATAGGAGACTTGATTGGAAGAGGTGACCAGCCGAGTGGGAAAGTGGTTCAGGGACACTTAGCTGAACCAATAGGAGACTGGACTGGAACAGGTGACCAGTCGAGTGGGAAAGCAGCCAAGAGGGATTTGGCAATTCTCGAGTTCTCAAGTTCGGCAGAACGGGTATCGTTAGAATCCACATTACATTATAGGAGATAAGTGTAAAATTGGATAAGCGAAATCCCCCAGTTTTGAGGAACGTTTTTACTTGAGCAGGCCTGGAAACAGGTCTACGGTTTTCTCTTGAGAGGTTTAGCACCCGGCGCTTAAAGTAATTTTTAGGCTTAAGAAGGGGGGCTAGAAAGGGGGGAGGTTAGAAGGGGGACTGGTTAAGTTAGAGGTTGGCGGTTGTAAATTGTAAAAAGGGGGAAATTAGAGTAACTAATTAGTCGACATCGTTGACTTAGTTACATTAGAAATTAACACGCGTTGGTAATATTAGGTGGAGATCCAAAATTCAACTCGAGTTAAGACTGGTACGCTGGTTGGTTTGGTAGGGGGGACCGGATATAGACAGCTTTTGTGAGACCCCATAAGATCACTAGTGGGGGGAGGAAAACGCGTGGCAATTAGGTACCAGACAAAATTTTTTTTTTTAGACGAAAGGTAGACATTGGTCACCTTTAAATTTTAGGTGGGCTCATTTTTCTGTTTTTATTATTTTTCTTACTTAAAATTTTTGTTGCATTTTATTGAGGATTTGTGTTTGGTTTTATACGAACAGGTGATCACAAGATACCTGCGCACCTACATTGAAATAGAAACAACCAAAAAGAAGAGGGGGGTCAGCATTTGGCTTTTAAGAGAGGGTTTTTGGGAAAATTTTACTAGAGCTTGAGTGGTGGTACAAGGTACGGTGGTTCAAGAAGACCCTACAACGAGGAAGACACTCCGTGACGAGTATTGGGACAAGACCGAAGAAGTCTTGGGACAGAGCAGTCTTGGGATAGTGGTCTTGGGACAGGGTCTTGGGACAGTGGTCTTGGGACAGGGTCTTGGGACAGTGGTCTTGGGACAGGGTCTTGGGACAGTGGTCTTGGGACAGTGGTCTTGGGACAGGGTCTTGGGACAGTGGTCTTGGGACAGTGGTCTTGGGACAGGGTCTTGGGACAGTGGTCTTGGGACAGGGTCTTGGGACAGGGGTCTTGGGACAGTGGTCTTGGGACAGGGTCTTGGGACAGGGTCTTGGGACAGTGGTCTTGGGACAGGGTCTTGGGACAGGGGTCTTGGGACAGTGGTCTTGGGACAGTGGTCTTGGGACAGTCTTGGGACAGTGGTCTTGGGACACTAGTCTTGGGACACTAGTCTTGGGACACCAGCCTTGGGACACTGGTCTTGGGACACTGCCCTTGGGACACTAGTCTTGGGACACTAGTCTTGGGATACCAGCCTTGGGACACTGGTCTTGGGACACTACCCTTGGGACACTAGTCTTGGGACAGTAGTCTTGGGACACTAGCCTTGGGACACTAGTCTTGGGACAGTAGTCTTGGGACACTGGT